AGCGATTGTGGCAACATGTCAACACAAACCTGAATGCTACAGATGAGAAAAACTGCTTGAACTTCTGCTTTCATAGAAGTGCTCACACTCACTGATGATTAGTGAATTTGATTAGCAGAACCTGGCTGGTTACCCTCTATAGAAACAGTAAGGGGGTAATTAGTTTTTCACAGGACTCCACCAAGTTCTATAAAACCTCTTTTTCACAACTGTGCAAATAACACTGCAGATGCACTTTCAATCCAAGTCTGTGAGCTACTACAACCTCATATAATTACTTAAAAAAAAGACTCAGACAAAACTAAATCAAAACATTTTAATTAGAAAGTTGAAAAACGGCAGTAGGTACATAGGACCTCTATTTTTGCTAGGGAACAAACGGCAATAGAGATGATGCAACACAAAATATGAAGATAACCTACTAAGCGAGGAAACTGCAGTTTTCACAGAAAGATTACAAAAAAAGATGACTGCAAATGATGAACATTTAAAATAAATAAATAATAGAAATACATATTCATTGAATAGTGTAGCCATTTCTCTTATCTATGTTATTATTGCTGGTATATATTACCTTTAAATGTATTATGATTTCAAAACAAACATACTCTGACAACCTTCCTTGGCCGCAAAACAATATCAACATGATCAATAAAATCGTCTATACATTTAAAATCGTGATGCATGAGTTTAGCAATTAAGAGTCACAGACATGAACATTCTTTTTTTTTTTAAAGGCGCTCCATGTTTTTTGTGGGGTTTTTTCTATTTTTTTTTTTAATACATTATGCGGTGAAATGATGCCAAGAATAGAATGGATGTATTGATACAGTACAGTACGCCATCTGTTGAACCCCTCGCCAATTTTTTCTGACGTACGGGACGAAGCTCCGTCTACGATGAGAGAAACGAAAGAGAGGTCACCGAACGACAACTGGGAGTGACAACTTTTTGTGCTGCTCATTAGCTTGGCCATGCGTTTTGTTGTCCTGTACACATGATTTAAAGAGAAGTGTCCACAGTCGAGTCTGATCGTGAAAAAGTGAACAACCTATACGATTTGGGTGACTTTTGGCTTCACGTTTATTGGAAATCCTGAGGAGATCAATCCATCTTTCCAGTTACAACAGCTGATGAGACGTCACCAGTTTTTTCTTCGCGGATGTCGACGGGGAGCAGTCTTCTTTTCCTCAGCAGCATCTCAGCGCAGCCATCGACCAGGAGACGCGTCCTCCCCGTCGTCCTCCTCCTCCTCCCTCTCCTCCTCCCGTCCTTGGCTGCTTCATCCTTGGCTGCCGCAGGATGACAGACTGTCGTACAGAGAATCGCTCAGAGACTCTGGAGTCTCCAGGACCTGAGGGCGACTTGGGGATAGGGCTTCCTCTGGCCGCTCCCTGAGCAGCTCCAGCCCGGCCTCCCGGCTCATCTCGGGGACGCTGGGTGTGCGCGTCTTTCCCCGGCGGCTCATCCCCGATTGGGCGGGGACGGGCAGGCTGCCTGGATCAACCACCCGGCTGGAGGAGGGGCCGCTGGCCTTCGTGCTCTGAAAGGAAGCAGAAGGGTGGGAAACATTTAAGGTCATGTGCTTCGTCTTATGTAACGCCTTCAGGTGACACCAAAAAAGTGGGTTACAGGATTCATCTAACTGTAAATTTTTAATATTCAGCTGATGAATAATTTGTAAAGGGAGAATGTGGCTCTGTGTTTTTTTTACATTATGTAAGATGTAAGTGCAGATTTAAAAATGTATCCCTTCTTTTACTGCCTGCAAAGGATTTCAGCCTGTAAGTGACCCAGATAAGTCTTTTTCTCATGCTCTTGCTAAGCACTTTTCATTAAGTACAGAATAATATTCTCATTAAACACTCATTAACGAAAGCATAATAACCTTCAAAGCTTTCTTCCTAAGGACTAGTCTCTAGTCTATTCTTCAGTTTCTTAGTCAAAGCTGGGATTGGTAGTTTGAGTTTCACTGCAGATGAAAAATTGATCTTCTTTGAGTTGTCTTGATCAG